CTACCCAGTATAGTCACTGGTGGACAAGACAACATGATGGCGTCGTAATTACGACTTTACACCGTTGTTTATATTGCAACTCGTAGGTCACATGTTCATACTGTGTAATATGTAAAATGGTTAGTGTAAATAAGACCAGATACCAACACATTTATTAACATTTGTTTTCTTTTGTTTATGATGCGATGTTTGTTTGTTTGTTTCCACTTAACCTGTCATACTATTTCGGGCGCGTACGCATTCAATCGTAGTTTACGTAACAAAATTATAGCTAGGCCGTTAACCTCTGAATTAAAATACGAGTTGTTCTCATTACTATTTCCAACTTTATTTCTCATCTTTATTTTACAGACTTGAAAAACTTTTGAAATCATTCAAACAAGAACAAGAAACCATTGAAACAGAGGTCGATTCCCAAACTGTGATAGACTTATCGAGAGAAAAGGAGCTGGTGATTAATATCGACTTCTTGCAAGGTTAGAACGTAAACCACAAAGACTTCATGTCAAAAAATTACCTTTGTAAGAATAAAGTAAACACACGGTGTTTTATCACAAAACATAGCATACATCGCGCCCTCTAGTGACGGAGCGCTTTTGTGACGTCAAAATGACGTATACGGGTGAAGGAAATTTCATTCAAATAGACCACACTGTTTTGGCTGTGTTGTCGTTCGTCGTCTAAAATAAAGTAAAATTTATCATAAATCATCTTTATTGATGGCCGATTACAGATCAAAACGATATCGATGCGTTGAACGCCCTTCGCGTCACCTATTACGTCATAGAAGTGCTTCACCACTGCAGTCTGGCGCAACAGTACATAGTTTGTCTATAAAGCGCCCTCAAAACATACTTGCTCTGTATGTTTGAAATTGTGACATCAGTGTTGCCAATCAGACACCGGGTTGTCAGGATCACATTGTCACAAAGTTGCCCTGTGCTTGGAGATCAATGGTGGTCGAGAACTAATGATTTGTTTTCATTTATTCTTTTCAGTGCCGGGTACACCGGCTATAAATACGAATACCTCCACAACGTATGATGGCGCCATCATCGTCCACTGGGACCGACCACTAGGTGGTAGTATAATCGACAACTATACCATGGAGTACATCAAAGCTTCCGAAATGTCAATTCCAACCAGTCAGCAGAGTCCGATGACAGAGGTTCTTGAGTTGGTATGGGAAGTCGTCACAGAAATCAAAGATTGCAATTATAGTGTGGATATTTTAGACGCAGATACGGAATACTGTTTCCGGGTAAAAGCTATGAATAAGGCGGGGTGTGGTCCGTACAGTGACATCGCCATTATCAAATCCCCACCCTAAGAATAGGATGAACACCAGTAATACTATTGCCATAATTCCCATCAAATAATATCCCTGATTGTTCTCAAAATATACTATATATGCGTAAACTAAACATCTAAACTTCATCTAAAAAGTATTTTGGTTTAATCATACGTAGGCTCAACTGCCAGTGGAATATGTATTATTTTTGAAACACGTGTGGATGGCATTCATGTAAAACTTGAAACCCAGGTACGAACTTACTGACCACGTGACTTTTCAAATCACAACTCCCAATCGTATCAACGGTTTCAGCGAAGTAGGTTATTATAGAAGACCTGCCTCTATTCTCATTCCTAAATATGTCATGTGTGCTTGATATCAGTAGTATTTTGTGTTTTTGACATTGTGTTGAGGTGTTTTGTTTTGTGTGCTACGCTACTGGAAATTCTCCCGACTATAGAATGTACAAAAGAGGACATACTAGTAAACTACGACAAGTGTGTGGTGTGTAAATGTGAAACAGAGCATATAAAATGATCTAGCTCAAAGTATCTGCTAATGTTAAAATTTGCTGTTGAAGTGGGATATTTCGAACTTTTGTGTTATTTTTGTTTTGCGTTTTGGAGGGTTAAAGCGTGGTTTTTCTAGCCAAGACGTGATTATATTGCAGACGCCATAAAATAATTAGTGTATTGAAAAGAAGTCACAAATCAATGTTTGCATGCGTGTATCATTACGAGTTTTGTTTTTCTTACGTTAGACATTGCGTGTCAACACAGCGTATACGGCGACGGGCACATGACTAAATAACATACTGTATAGTCTCGACTACCATTGTACAATGACCTGTGTTTGTCAAACATAAATTAATTGATGTAATTTTCATTTTCTCCGAGTCTGATTTATTCTACGAAATAATTATTAATTTTTCAATTGTTTTTGCTCAGTTCATACGTGTTTCAGGAGAGTCTGAACATTCGAAATTTACTTTAAAAACATTATCAACATAGATCGTTCGTTCGATTTATTTGTTATTTAGTTATATCAGCTATACACCTTAGTGAAGAATTATCGAAAATGGCTAGACCTTGCGTGAAAAAACCATCGATTGACCTATATTGAAAACATTCGATGTAAATTTTATGCATGGGTATGTCAGTTAAATTGTACATATACGTAGAGATGTGTGGCAAATAAATTCGGGGGTAGACTCCACTGTTTTAACTACATCCAGCGATAACTGACCTATTAATTTGTACCCATATGACGAACAAATATCATGCTGGTTACTGGCTATTGTTTGGTTCTCCGTCCATCTTGTCAATATTAGGTACTTTCTCTGGGATGTAGCTTGTTCGTTCCAATAACTGCACACAACTCAGTAGGTTCAACTGTTTATATCCGAGTAACTACACAGTAATGACTCGCTTACACCTTTCCGTTAACATTATTTATAACGCGGTATTATGTTTAGTGAAATGAAACAACACTGACTGTTGACAAAAATCGGACTTGCTCCAGGTCGCCCGAATAGAGTAGTTTGGCATTAAGACGCAAAACTATTATTTAAAACTAATCCCGAACAATGCAATTCAAATAGAAACCATGCCAGATATGTATAATTAATCGTACGACTTGGAATGAGTTTACAACTGTAAATGTCATAGTTGTCAGCATTTTGTTAACGCATGAGACCGAATGTCGTAAGAGGCTCTACATGCCGTTGTTGATGTTGTGGGTTGGAACCTCATACTCGCCCAACTTTTTCAATAATAGAGGATGAAGTCCATCTCCTCGCCAGCTCCAGACGTTGCACTCAATAACTCCTAGCCAAGGTCCAATGTACAATATCGGTTTACAAATATGCCACAATTACGTGGCTAAAACAATGCCGGTTTACAAAAAAAATGCCTCTGTTATCTGTAGCAATTACACTCTGTATATAAAATGTGTGACAGATTTACAATTAGCATAAAGACTTGTAGATTTAGTAAAATAAATGACCAGAACAATGGTCACATGACCAATAGTGGTTGAAATAAATGCATGTTTAAAGGTGACACTCTTTAAACTATGGGATACAATGACATTCTTGTCGATCGGTAGGCGTGACAGAGATGAAAGGACGTCATATTCTCCTTATTTTTAAAGATACCTAAGTGGATACTTGCATCACCTGTAAACAACGCCCATAGTGAACCATGATTACATCACAAACATGTATGTAGTCAGTCTGATTAAAATAAGATCCTAGTTTGGGCTTTTATTTATTTATTTTTCTTTGTTAATATATTTTACTATTTAAAAAAAAAATATTTGCTGGTATTTTTTTAAGTTTTGGTAATCGCGAAAACCTACGTCTATTATATTAACCCCCCCCCCCCCAAAAAAAGCCCAAACTACATAAACTAGGATCTTATTTTAATCAGATTGGTATGTAGTATAATTATTCAAACAATTGCAGCAATTTTCCAGTATTCAAAACACGATATTTGAACAATTAGCAGTGCTTACGACTAAATACAGAACGAAGTATTCTCAGAGCGCAAACCTACGACACAGAAATACATACCCTCACTAGTAATATTTAGAGTTATCCTGCTTATAGGCAGACTCTCCTTCACGGTGGAGAGTATTTTGCGTTCCTGAGATGAGGGACGCGTCGAGAACCAGCGCAAACGCCCGAGACGTAGTCCTCTACAATGGTGCTCAACAAACAAACTCGAACCAACCGAACAGCTTCGATGTTCCATATCTTGTTTGTACGACAACTAGTCAACACACATTTCACACAGCTCTGTCGTCTTTATTGTAAATTGCGTAACAAGAATGGACACAATGGGTAAGTCGCAGTACAATCAGTGCACAAAACTGTTATATCAACTCTCCTCCGTAGTAGTAATGACTCTGACGTAATTCCTAAACTTTGAACTAATCTATTCCGGCGTCTTGCAAGAAACTATTTTGTCTTTATTCCATTGTAGCGAAATGTATACCATACAATCAAAGAGACGACTATTTTCAGAAAACGATGTGCGCACCGCAAGTTAAACACAATATTCCTGTTGAGGGACTGTGACATTGTTTGGGTTGTACATTTCAAATGTAGACAGGGCGTTATTTGAACTCATCGCTCATCGATTCCATCTTAAATCAAAGCGTGATTTGTTTTCTGGAGAGGAAGTCTCGTTGAGAGTCGTCAAACTTGTGGCTCAGATAGAATCTCTTGAAATTGAAAAAGATAGTCAGAGGACTGCTCAAAGTCACCGTCCCTCAACACGGGAGGGACGGTGTCAAAGTACAGAAGATAAAGAGTCGAATCACGGATTCGCATATGATTGCGAACGCAGAGGGCGCAATAACGGGTGCGTGTTTTACAACATGCTAGTAGCCATTTTTGATGAGATAACAGTGCACTGTAGTCAACTTGCACAATACCACGCTGAATTGAGGAAGAATGCAGTAATTGAAAAAACGAAGACGTCTTTTATGGCTTCTTTCATGTTCCGATTGAAAAGGAAAAACAAGATAATCAGTGATTGTGATCTGAAAATTCTGTCAGGAATTATGACAAAAAGGAAGTCTAAATGATCAAAGAGTAACTGTCGCCATGGTGATGAGATAGAAACAGATGTGACATTTTTTAAAAATTTTCAACTTAATTTTATTATTTTCTATATTTTAATAAAAGACAGCAATGCGTCTGGAGCACTGCCTTAAAGGTAGATGTCATAAGATTGTCACAAACGGCCTTGTATATTGTCCCGTCGGTAATTGTATGTTAAGAATATCATGCATATATCTACCACTGAGAAAGGAAACTTTGCCCAAAACGTTATATGGAATAACTACCAAGGACTATGATCACCTACAGCTATTTCCTATATATTGAAACACAGTAGGAAATATTTGGTAGTCGTTATTCTAAGTAACTATTTGAAATAAAGACGTTTCGGCCAACTTGAATGGTTCGTATTCGGTATAATTATACTTGTCTTCACAAACGCAGTACACGCGAGTGTGGGGGCATAGTTGTGTCACATTTTGGGGATTGTAGCATTGTAGCATAGAATATGTCTTTGTTTTCTATTAATTTGGTAATGTATATATTTGTAATAACCTTCAATATTGTTTTGGCAAAAATAACATAGCGTACATGTAAAACATTCAGGCAATGAAAAACACTAGAAATTGCAACTATGGCAACCGAAGACGGCCACAATTATGTTCTTTTAAAATGTCGCACTTTCATCACCATGTTTTATCGCCTTTAGTAAATCACAATTAAAAAAAAACACAATTTGGATTTTTTTTTTGACTTGCGTTTTTGTTAAATTATCTGCTCACCATCCCTCACGCCGAAAGCAAATTTTGCTGTCATACATAACATACACAAAGGGCTTCAGCTTGATTTTTCGAGGACCGACACCCCTTCAAAAGTTGTTTGGGGGGAGCAGTGCTTGGGTTTTCATTATGATTGTAATGGTAAGAGGCGTAAAAAACAGTACGTGAAATTAATATTAGTCAAATCATAATAATGATTAAAATGTTAATTTTATGTATAATGCGGAAATACATTGGCAACTATCAAAGATTATGGTTATGAAAACAAGCAGCCTCTCGGCTGAGATAGCTCCGCTGTTAGCAATGCACATTTCAATTAAAGAACAGAAGATACTATTAGAAAATGAACAATATGCATAGTATCATTGC